AGTCAATTATTCAATCGATACATCTTAGTACTTTAATTGTAGGAGGGCCATTATGAAAACTATTGGGTGACCAGTAATCAATGTCTTTACCCTCGTTAAATAAAGTTATTATTATTATTATTATTATTATTATTATTATCGCCTTAGTCGGAATGACGAAACTTGGGAAAGTTATAGAGTACAAAGGAACTTAGTTACCAAACTTAAGCGAATATCTATTAAACGGTTCTTTTTAGACTCTTCGGCTAACACAACAACTCCTGGAGATTTTTGGAAGCGGGTAAAGCCTCTTCTACCGTCTTCTGGACAAGATAACAGCGATGGCACATGCATAATGGATAGGGGTGCAGTTGTAAGTGATCCATCCAATCTTTTCAATGAACACTTCTCTTCACCTGTTCTTGATCGAGCTGTTTTGACTAAGTCTGTTGAAGATTTCGAACATCATCCAGGTGTGACTTCAATCTCGTCGCGCAATTTCAATCTTGGTTTTTCATTTCAACCTGTCAGTACGGAATACATTGGTAAATTGCTCACTGGCCTTAAAACAAACAAGTCTTGTGGACCTGACAATATCACTCCCATGATTCTTAAGCTATCTGCATCAACAATCAAAGGGCCTCTGACTAAGCTCCTTAATTACAGCCTTACTAATTCAACGTGGCCACAGGAATGGAAATTAAGTAATGTTACTCCAGTCTATAAAAAGGATGATAGCTCTCTTGTGGAAAACTACAGACCAATCAGTATCTTGTCGTCCATTCCCAAGATTCTTGAGAAAGTTATGTATGATCAGCTCCGTGATACTTTCAAGACCCACTTCTCTCTCAATATGTCTGGATTCTTAAGTGGGCACTCATGTTTCACTGCTCTTCTAAAATTGGTTGACGACTGGAGACTAGCCCTGGATTCTAAGAAAGTCACTGGAACTATTGCCATTGACCTTTCCAAGGCATTTGACTCTGTGTGTCACAACCTACTCCTAGCCAAGTTGCGTGCTTATGGTTTGAATGATGATGCCCTCAGATTCGTACAGTCATACTTGACCGAGCGACAGTAAAGAGTTAAATATAATTGCAAACTCTCTGATTGGCTTCCCATTCAATGTGGTGTGCCTCAAGGTAGTCTTCTCGGTCCCTTATTTTTTAATATATATATATATGACTTAAACTTTGCTGGCCAGATCGCTTCCTTGCGTCTATATGCCGATGATACGACAACTTATCGATCTCATCACGATATCACTTTCTTGGAAATCTCCCTGAACCATGATATTGACATCCTCCTGTCTTGGCTTTCTCGTAATTATCTTATGGTCAACAAAATAAAGTCCCAAGCTATGATGATTGGAGATATTGCTTATGACCCTCAATTTATCATTGGTGACTCTAGAGTCGAGTTATCTAACTCACTCAAAATCCTTGGGGTCATAATTGACGACAAGTTAACATTTGCTGATCACATACAGAGTGTTATAAAAAAAAGTCTATGCCAAGATTGGTGCCCTTAGGAGACTCAAAAAACTTATTCCTGTAGATGTCTCCCTATCGCTCTTTAAGGCTTACATACTTCCTCACCTGGAATACTGTAGTCCGCTATTGCTTGGAATAAATAAAACACTGAGCTCTAAACTGGAATCAGTCAATAAGTACGCACTTAAAACTTTGCTTAATCTCGGCAATAGTGTTGACTCCAATATAATTTTAGCTAAAAGTAACATGACAACTCTAGAAAATAGGCGATTTTATAGTTCCTTGGTATTACTTTAAATGTATGAAATGGAACGGTCCAGAATATATTAAAAACTTTTTTCAATTGCGGGAATCTAGATATAATTTAAGGAATAAAGTTGTAAATCTAGTGCAACCAGGGTATAATAATAGATTCTATCATAATTTCTTTACATATAAAGTTAGTCACCTTTGGAACAGTTTAGCTAGAGAACTTAAAACAGCATCTAAGCTTAGCGATTTCTGTTACAAACTTAAGACTTTCGATTTCAGCACACTAGGACCTATCTGTAAATGTAATACATGTATTTGACTTTCATTGTACATACACATACATTGTCATTTTTATTCATATTAATCTACTGCAATATCTTTCACCGAAAATAATGTTTAGACTCCTTTAACTATCAATATTAATTACCTACAAATTCACAATTATTATTCATACTCTAAACTTATATATTTTTACCTATAAAGTTTTAATTTTTTTTATTTTTTATCTGATTCAGTTGACATTGTCGCTTGTGTTTGGGCTTTTGCCTTCAGCTCAAGTCTTCTCCTTTTTGCCTGTGTTAATTGAGTTAGTTACATGCTGGAATTTATTTTGACTTATAAGTACTTCTTATAATGTACCTTTAATTATAGTTAATTTATAGTCTACCGTTTTATACATGAGCCTCTGGCTCGGGCAATTGGGCAACCATGCCTCACGTTAGACAATAAACTTTGATTGATTGATTGATTGATTGATTGATTGTAAAACATGGAAAACATTTATGTGAATTTCTCCAAAACTGCACCGATTCTGGAACTTAAACCACCCACCTAGCTGGTTATAATATTCTAGTTTTAAATATGTAAAAATATCTACGGACCTGCCTCCACTTTTTATAGAGGCAATTCGCGAAAAAAGCTCAAAATCAGATATTGCACAATTTGGCGATGTTTACATCTAATGTTCTCAACAACAAATGTTTCAGACAAATGAAACATGCACGGCTTTGGAAGAATGTTATCTTATGAGCAATATCCCGAAGAGAAATCTCGCCTCTGGTTGTCATCTTTTAATAAAAAAATTGATCAAACTTAATGGAGGACTACTCGACGTAACTTTAAACATATACCTCAAATCGTGTGCATATCATCCAGATTCCGAGTGCTGCACTTTCTTTCATGGAATTTGAGCAACCCGAAGTCCCCTGAAGATACACTGATATACTTGTATGTCATTTGAAACATGTTGAAGTGGGCTGATGTACACTAAAGTATCCTCACACCGATCAATTGTCATAAACATGTACGTTATCACGATGGCGTGATGCTGTATTTCTCCATGAAGTTTCCATCGGTCGCTCCAAAGAAGACAGGAAATTTATATTTTTCATATATGTCAGCAGATTTCCGCTTTCTGAAGTAAAAAAAAAACAAACAAAAAGAGGAAAACTTTGATAAACGCTCGTAAACACTGAGAATCTAAGAGTATAAATCGTAACTTGTTAGCAGCAGCACTACATGTAAAACCCAGTTGCAACCAAATCAATTTGAACGACATAGGCATCTCCTTACAAAGAGCAGATACGAGCAATTATCATTTCCTTGTGACAGGAACTAAGATATTTCAAATCATCTGAAAACTGTCAGATAACTGTTTAAAAATTTTGCATAAGATATGAAGAGGAGAGACTTATCACCGCCGCAGTGCTATCGAGTCAATCAATGTTTCCTTCCATGTATTGATAAAGAAAAAAATCAACAAAGTTCGAAATAAAAGACTTAATTAAATCATAATTTCATAATTCCACCTTTCAAACAACTTATTATCCACACGCAAATCGTAACTTGTCACATGAACAAAACTCCCCATGGTTAATATGTAATCTGGATTGCTTCATGTCTTTCAGGAAAAAGAACAGCGATTTCATCACCATTATTTTCCATACCTTTCTCCCGGATATCTTTTACAAGCTTAAAGAAAGATGAATATAACGCAATCTCCCAGTGATTTACACGAGTGGAAGTCAAAGGTCTCTTTAATTTTCCCCTGAGGTGGCCGGCTCACCAGGAAGAAAAAGGAGATCGTTCGGTCTAATAACGTTAGTCTGTGGAGACCATCAAGCTAATAGCTGAGAAGATTGTGCCCTTTGGTTCATCATTGACAGCATTAATTATTTCAAATCTGTATTTTTCGGTCCAAGCGACATCAAAAATAGTTGCTTTGTATTTTTGTAAGCACTTTCTATAGCATTTTATTGTCAAGGGAAATAAATCTCAAGGCTCAAAGCCAATACAACGTTCGAGCATGTGAAAGACTCCCTGAAAAAAGCTAAAATTTTGGAAATTGATTGTGATGAAATCCCTGTTTCGTTTTCTGTACTGCAGGGATACTGAGTAGTTCAAAATCTCCACTTTGTGATGATTTTCGCGTGAGTAGTTCAAATTGCTATTGTGACGACTGGGTTTTACATGTAGTACTGCTGCTGACAAGCTGCGATTTCTGCTCTTAGATTCTCAGTGTTTACGAGCGTTCAATTGAGGTTTTCTTCTTTTTTTATTATTGTTGTTTTTACTTAGAATGCGCGGAAATCTGCTGATATATCCAAAAATGTCCATTTCTCGTCTTCTTTGGGGCGATCGATGGAAACATCATAGAGAAATACAGCGTCACGCCATCGTGACAACGTACATGTTTATGACAAATGACCGGTGTGAGGATAGTTTCGTATAGATCAGCCGACTTCAACTTGTTTCAAATGACATACAAGTATATCAGTGTATCTTCAGAGGACTTCGGATCGCTCAAATTCCCATGAAAGAAGGTGCAGCACTCGGAATCTGGATGATATGCACACGATTTGAAGTTTATGTTTGTAGTTATGTCGAGTAGTCCTCCAAGAAGTTTGATCAATTTTTTTTTAAAAGATGACAACCAGAGGCGAGATTTCTCTTCGGGATATTGCTCATAAGATAACATTCTTCCAAAGCCGCGCATGTTTCATTTGTCTGAAACATTCGTTGTTGAGAACATTAGATGTAAACATCGCCAAATTGTACAATATCTGATAGAGAAATAAACATTTCACTCTTTTTTTTGCGACGTTTTTGTATGAAAATGAGGCTCCGAGCCTCGAACAAGCAGTCGTTGTTACCATGACAACAAGAGTGCTGCGACCTTTAAAAAGGGCATTTTTTATGAATCCCCCCCTGAGTGCCTAACTGCATGCAAAATTTGAAGGGGGGTTGAAAATCTTCATTTGCCAAGATGTTTGATTCTTACAGAGACTTGTTCTTAAGTAATTCTTTGTCATCTCCCTCCGACATGATATCATCCAGGACAAGAATACCCCCTCGTTTATCTCCAAACCATGTTGTTAAATCGTCGTGGGTAGGCACTCCTTTAAAAAATTCTATGCCATAGTGTTGCATGTCATCAAACTTATTTTGCCAGGATCCATAACAGTAGTGCATGCGGGCGGTCTTTCGTCAAAGACATCTAAATTTTCTAAAAGCAGGTGATGGATAAAGGTGGTTTTTCCACAACTTGTAGGGACCACAATCAAAATATTGGAAGGGAATTTGAGAGAAAATCCTCGTTCCACACACTTGAACATGATTGCTAAAAGCGAGTTACACAAAAATGACACGATTTTCTTTCATTCCTTTCATTTTATTGACGATTGAATAATGTCTTCTAACATGTCGCCTACTTTGTCATCGTTGTCTACATAATCCTTTTAGAAAACATGGAAAAACTCATTCATACTTTGCGTCTTGCTTTACACATGAAATAAATGATGGCATTATTCTCACAACTTGCGGTTTTTACAGATTGTAATGCTCAAGTATTTTTACGCACGTAAGGCCATCGGTTTAACCATACAATGAATGGTGTCAGAAATTCACAGGTGGTTAAATTTAACCCATAGCTATTTAAAATTTCACAGCTATCGTGTTCGGTCCACACAGCTATCCAGTGTTCCCCAGGTTTGTCTGTAGGGTGGGTATTGAGAATGTAAGCTCTCGGTTTCACACGTTCAGGCGACTTGGGTAGTTCGTCACAGGCTAAAGCACCCACAAAGTACTTGCGGAGTTCTGGATCGCTATCCGCTAAAGCGTCGAGTTGATTCGTAGTAAGCCACACAAACTCCATCACTGATGCACTTCCATGATGGTAGCTCCCTTAATGCCATCAATTTCCATAATACTTTCATATTCAGCATAAACGATCACTGTTTTCTGACTTGCTTGCCCTGCACATTTAGTGTGAATGTTGATGAAGCCTTCGTTTTTAGGTAGAAGAACCGGGTCATCGTGTCTTCCATTGGCCACATTGGAAAATGCAAACAGCATGCAATTTTTTCCATGACCCCAGTCTTTGAATCGCATCATGTTTCCTGCATTTCTGTACCGACAGCCAGTAGCATTCAGAAATCGGTAATAACCCACCAAGTCTTCTTTGACCATTAGAAGTGTTGAGTTCCAAAGTCTCGCGAGGGTATTCTTCTCCATTCACAATTTGTTTGATGTATTCCACCTCAAATTAGCCAAAGGCCAAGCGGTCTTCTTTGTATTGACCATTGAATGCAGTAGTTTTCAGAATACCAATGATGACTCTTTGTGGCACCTTTCCATTAAGTGGGTTGTTGATTTCTTTAGAAGTGGCCCCATCGTCCAGGGGAAACTGTCTCATTTCAGTACGGATCATGGCATACTTGGCTGAGGTTTTGGTCTTCATACTCATCATGCTCATGTAGACAGCTGGGTTTAGGGACACCAGACAAGGGAAAGAAGGTAAGTTTAATATCCTCTGAGTTGACTCGGACTTCCTCATTGGGTGGATTGTCTTCTCTATTCATGAACAAAGCTGCTGGATTCAGATAAAATTCCAATTCCAAAAGAGTTTTGGGGATGATCCATTTTCCTTGGTGAAACGCGTCTATAAACGGTTTCATTCTTAAGATTCTTCTCTTTCCTCCTGCATAGTAATCTCTTGCATCTGCTCTCTGTTTCTTGATGCTGTTTTGATGATTTGTAGAAAGAGCTGTATACGTGGCATCATCCATCTTGACATTTCCAGCAGTTTAGGTCACAGGAGAATCAATTTCGTTCCGCCATCCAGCTGGTTCGAGTATCGTCTCTCCATCATCTCTGTCATAATTCAGGATCGTCTGTATGAAAGCTTTAAGATGGTACATGTCCACCTGTAGATCGCAACGCCTTACATTCTTTTCGTTTGTTTATTGTTCTTGTGCAAAAGTGCTAATATTAGTAAAATTTCGTGTGCGCTTTCTTTGTGTCATTGCTTAACGTTGCATAACGTAGCATTTATTTAACCGTATTGTTCATCGTAGTTTGGGGCAGTTTTGCAGTGTAGTTTCGTCGAGTGTAGTTTCGTATATTTGTTCTTTTCGCTTCGTGCAGTTTGTTCGCTACTAGGCAGGATCTATAACATCGCAACAAATTTAACTTTTGTATCATGTAGTTTTCTTCGTCGTAGCTTTCCTTATGTATTTAGTCTAGTTTATATTGAAATAGTTTTCGTTCCCTGTTTTATTTGCAGTTTTTTTTACTGTGTCGTTTTGTTCCGCGTTAAAAATTGCGCTAGAATTAGTATTAGTCGCCAGTGGCAGTTACATCGTTAAAAATTTGCGATGCTTCAATGATGTCTTCGGAACGAGCACCTGAAGAAATGGACGAAGTAAATCTGCGAACAAGACCAAGAAGACCGAATACGACTCTCGATTCGGATGGAGTTCGTAACGAAAGGATTCGAAGCCTTAAGAACACTCGAAGAGGTCACATAGCAAAGGTAACTGCTAAAGTTAATGAAGTCATCGAATTACTTTCTGACGAAAGAAATGTACAAGAAGTAAAGGAAAAACTTACAACCTCCAAAGAGGCCTTTCGTAAGTTTGGAGAAGCGCACAGAAGTTATGCAGCAGAACTCGTAAACAAAGAAGAGAAGACTAAGTGCATGGAGTATTTCAGCCGCGAAGAGGAGAAGTCTACTGAAATCTGTCGACAAGTACTAGACTGGATCTCGAGAGTCGAAGAAAACCTTTTGGCTGTTTCACTTCAAGTGGATTCCGAAGTAAACTCAGACGATTCTGTTAGCTGTGCAGATGCGAAAACTTCCTCCAAAGCTTTGAAGATTTCAAGACGCTCAAGTCGCGCTACCTCACGCGCCAGTCGCACATCATCTCTCTTACTAGCCAGGGCAAAGGAAACAGTTCATGTTGCAGAACTTCAAGCAGAGCAAGCTATGTTAAAGAAGAGACATGAATTGGAGGAGCAGAAGTTCCGCCTAAAGCAGGAAGAGTTGCGTCTTGATTTAGAAGCCGAGATTGCAAAGACAGTGGCAAAAGAACAAGCCTTGGCAGCTATAGCAACACAGCCACCCCCTTCCATGAATCTAAACTCCGTGAAGTTGGAGAGGGAATTTAATCGCCAAGAAGAATGTAGTCCACCTCCGCGCGCGCAAAGCCATATAGCTTTAAATCCACTGGCACCTAAATTGCCACAAGCCAAAGCTGCTGTTTCCGTCCCAAACAATCAGATGACCAGAGTACGTTGCAACGAGAACAAAATGCTCTGCAGATCCAGCAGAATCGGATCGTGGAAATGCTGGCAGCCAATCAGAACAAAAGCAGACTTCCCCAGCCTCGTGTCCCAACATTTGATGGCAATCCTTTGGAGTATCACACCTTTGCTCGTTCCTTCAAGAACTTAATCGAATCAAGAACGTCTATAAGTACGAAAAGACTGTATTACTTAGAACAGCAAACTGCCGGGGACGTAAAGGAGCTTATACGTTCGTGTCATCATTTGCCACCCAACGAAGGGTACTGCGAGGCCTGCAGGCTGATGAAGAAGAAATTTGGTGACGAGTTTAGAATTGCGTCTGCATGCGAATCCAAAGCATTGAATTGGCCTCCCATTAAGCCCGAGGATGGAACAGCTCTCAGTAGATTCTCTATCTATTTAGCTAGCTGTAGAAACATGATGAAGGGCAGCCAGTATTCTTCCAAGTTCGATCAGCCAGACAAGATTCAGAGACTAGTCCTCAAGCTTCCATACAGAATTTTAAGTATACATTACACGCCTTACATTCTTTTCGTTTGTTTATTGTTCTTGTGCAAGAGTGCTAGGATGCCATTAGCTCTGAAATTTATTTGCTTGAAGGGGATGTGTGCAATACTGTTGGCTGGTGAAGTCATCATACCCACATTGTTTACGCGTCCTGTGAGATTGGCATTTTCTGTGGTTTTGAAACCCAAATCCAGTTGGACAAAACTTCTCGAAAGATCAATGGGATCTGATTGTAATTCCATGTACACTTGGATAGGGGTAATACTAGAAGTCTGAGGTGGTATTTTGACATATCGGTAATTTACCGTGGAAAGATCTGTAGGTGGTATTCTAAAGAGATCTAGACTTGGATTCTGCTCTGTCTCATTGATAGACATGGTGATGTGTCTGTTTCAACGTCTTCTGCGTTTATGCACACGTCGTCGTGTTCCTATCTTCTTTATGCGACTTGTGAGAAATCCCCCTCGTTGTTGTTTTTTTCTTTTTCTCCCTTTATACCTTTTTAAGATGGAAGACACAGGATCCGTCAGTGATGCTGTGCCTACATCAATGATAGGATCACTTTGACGTACGGTACTGATGCGGACCATGTTTTATTCTCCAAAAATATCGTTGAGCCTCTTGGCAACTTTTCTCTTTAATTCGTTCTTAAGCGCTCGGGATGACCCTCTCTTTATACCTTGCGGCACTTCTGATAACGAACGCTTTTTGACACTGCTTTTAAGACCCCTACTACACCTTTCAGAAAACCTTTAGCCATGTCTTTAACTCCGGCACCTATTTGAGGATCACCCCAGGATCCGATAAAAGGCGGTGGGGTGTAAGATGAGGGGGTCTGCCTTTGGCTTCCTTGAGTATCTTGGCAAAAGCATCCGTCACATCTTTTCCTGTTTTCTTTTTAATCGGCCAGGCCCATGCGTATTTGGAAAAGGCATCGATCACGATCAATATGTATCGTATCCCTTGTTCTGTTTGGATAAGGTCTGTACTTCAATCAAATCTGCTACCCATTGTTGATCAATGTCGAGCACCACCAAAGGTAAAAATTCACCTCGTTGACATCTGGGTTTGTGAAGCATGTACGCCAAATTTTTCTCTAATTCTTTTTTAGCTTGAGCATTAGAGATCTTTTGAGCTTTGGCATACGGTGCCACACCACCCAATCTACCGACAACACCGGGCTCATCATATAAGTCGTGTGATCCTCTCTCTTTTGTTTCCATTTTTTCATCCTTGATATCTTTTTTAATGTTCTTAACCATGATAAATAATACCAAAGTTTGAAACAATGGTAGGTGACCCAATACTTATGGAGGTACTGCGTATACAAATGACTCCACGTCGTATATGTATACTTCCCATCATAGTATCTCATAAATGTCATCAAATGAAAGATACAGTCATGTAGTGGATGTAAGTGTGGTTTCATGACATACTTAAGCACCTCAGCTTCCATGTCTTCGGGAACCCATTTGTAAGGGATTTTATGCAGCTCATCCTCTTTGTAGACGATATGTGTGGT